TTTTTTTTTTCTTCCAGCGACTAGACAAATACGAGTAATTAGCCCATGAAGTGCAGTGGTAGCCCCACTGCAAGGGTTAATAAATGTTTGGCCCAGAGTTCTTCTTTAAACCTTAAAACATTTTTTAGCAGGTAGGGTATTTTCATAGCAGAAACATTATAAATCCCTCTTTTTTTTTTTCTCCTACCAATTTTATTGGTGGACACTGTGTGACATGGTAGTGCAATATCCACTCCTTGACCACTCCTGACATCTGCATAATTCTGAGAACTGATACTAGAGAATGGTGCTACCCGGGGGGATAGTTTCACTTTAAATCAAGGAGAGTCCACATGACATTGAGGCAACAGCCATTTTCAGAAGGTGGACTCACCTATGGCAGCCTCAATGTTTCCCCAATAGCAGATTCCTTTTAAACGCAACTGTTTCTATATTGGTCTTCGTATGTGCGCCCATATTTGTAACTGCTAAAATCCATCAGCCACTAGTAGAAGTCCAGCACTGAATTATCCCCGTCTGCCAATTTTGGTGATCACATTGCTTGTTGTAGGGTATCCCTGGTCACAAACTCTACCCAATTCCAGGAAAAAATGAGGTTTGACTCAATAGGGGAGAATGTGGTCTACTGCAATAATATAAGGAGACACATTCACACCTGTGTGTGCACCCTGTTGTGAGCGTAATCATGTGTGGTACAAAAACCATGGGGGTTATGCATGTTGTAGTGTGTTCCTATAAATTTGTTGTAGATCTCCAACCACAGAAACAGGGACAAAATAAATGTACCTGTACCTCAGCACAAAGCTTGTAATGCTGCCTTGCAGTGCGCTGGAAAAAAACATGAAGCAGGAAAGTTTTCAGGCATTGGATGCACCTTGAGGACCCACTGAAAATGGAGGGGCATGCTCAACACAGTATAAGATAATGTGTTAGTGGGCCCTCAATATCAGCGGGCTTCCTCTCTGCTGTGTGTAACCTAACACAGTGAGGTCAGAGCTACAACAAGATTCTAACTTAGAGTCAGAGGCTTGTGCTCTGTGTATGGTGTGGACCAATGGCCAGCGTCATTGGTCCAAGCCATCCCCCCCCCAAAAAAACCACAGCATCCATCTAGATGCCACATCAGTGATGAGCAAGTGAGGGACAAGGAGGCTCCATATTTATATGTGAGATTTTTTTTTTTTTATGAAGGCCTCATTTAACATAACACATCTATGCAACAAAAATGATCTCTGCATTGCAGTCCCTGTAATATAAACAAGGTGCGTGCCGACACTTCTTCAGTGCTATTTACTGCCCTAGTTAGCAGTCAGTACTTCAAAAAGAGAAGCCATTCCAATATCATACAAGGTATTCTCACATGATTAGCTCTCAGAATAGACCAAAATCCAATATCGGTCACCAGGGAACGCACTAGCTCTGATCTCCTAGATTAGGTGCTTGGAAAAGGCCAGTACAGAATTGTGGTAGCAGCAGGAACTCCGCTTTCTACATTACACAGAGATGACCAAATAGCAGGTGCTTCAATTTCCAGTGGCAGCTAATAGCCTGGAAATGAGTACTTCTAAGGAAGAGAGGGCACTACACATTTTAGGAAAAGAAGAAAAGTTTAACTGTTTTGTTAATGTGCAGAAGACGGTGCGATGCAGATTTGCTGGATGGCTCTGAAAGCAGAGAAGAAAAATCCTGGTACCTATACCGTAAGCCACTATAGACAGATAGCGATTTCCCTTCACAAAAGGTCAGTCACTGTGAGCTTTTGTATTCACCAGCATGAGCCACCGATCAGCTATTCTCAACTATTAATTTCAGCACTCTTGAACAGCACTGTCATACAGCAACAGGAAAGACAGATTGCTTTTAAGTATTATTTCTGTAATGAACCCACTGTCATATATTTAAAGGCTCTAGTGGGCAGAAAGCCATCACACTCTAGTGAGAAAAGATGATGAGGTTAGGAGAGCATATACTGAAAAAATACATTTCATTTTGTTAGCGCACGGCCGGCCTGATTTATAACAAGCTGGATAGATTTCATTTACAGGTGTGCTTTACATTTTTTAGGGTTCACTCTGCATTTGTCTCATGCAGGTTCTTCTACTATGAAAGTAGACTAAAGTGCAGCTTTACCCAAAAAGTCATTCTGTTCTCGGTGAGCTGGATTTAAAAGTGAACCTGTCTTAATCCCGATTACATGATGAAAATATTAAAAAAAGCAAACGTAATCGTTTGTGAAAATCATATGTTAAAGTGGTGGTGTTATATGCTAATCTTGATTTAAAATTTTTGCATCAAAACCGGAGCTTAACCCAATCCCTGTGCATTGCAGAGACTAGGAGAAACACACAAATAAAGTTCACAGCAAAAGCAATGAGATCTCTCAGCAGCTCAGCTCACCCTGCTCTCCCTACAACAGCTTCTGCTCTGTGTTTACATTAAACGTCATTAAATGGGGACGTTCTCTGCGGTAGGGCTGCAGCTCACAATCGATTAGTTGCCCGATTATTTTTTTTCAACTAATCGATTGGTTGTATTAAAAAAATGATCTCTCCCTCCATGAAAATAGTTGCCAACTATTCTCATAATCAATTATTATCGATTTAGTCGATTAGTTGTTGCAGCCCTACTCTGCCCACCTCCGAAGGAGGAAGAGGACCTGAGATATTACGTGACTGGGCTGAAGACCCATGGAGAGGGTATGCATGCAAAACATTTCTAAAGCAAAACTCCAGCCAAAAATAACAAAATAAAAATGAATAGCCCTTAGATTCTTCTCCCTTGGGGTTCATAGGGAAGATTCTATTTTCAGATATGCAGAGGAAATTTCCATCTGACAATTTAATTCTGAATCTGCTTAAAAGCGACACTAAACTCAGAATTTAAATCTTAAAATACTTTCAAATACCCTATTAACGTAAATGACTCTTATTTGTGTATCACTTGGTTGTAGAAAATCATCTCTGAATTGGTGCTGGCACTGTCCTTCCTTCTGGAGGGTGGCTACTTTTGTTCCTCATGGTCCCTGCGTGTGTTGTAAAGTAGCCACCGCTCCAAGCTCACTTCTGCGATGGACTACAATCTCACGTTTAGTTTACTCATTTGTATTGAGATTGTAATCTATCACAGGAGTGAGCTTGGAGCGGTGGCTACTTTACAACACACACAGGGACCATGAGGAACAAAAGTAGCCCCCCTCCATAAGGGAGGACAGTGTCGGCACCAATTCAGAGATGATTTGAGTGATACAGCCGAGTGATACACAAATAAGATACATTTTTGTTAATAGTTAAGGTACTCAAATGCCTTTCCAAGATTTAACTCCTGAGATTAGTGTCACTTTATATTGGAGCTGGCCTGCACTAACCATGTTCATTGTTTACTGTTCTATGTTGACCCCCCTTCCCCTCATGTCCCACGATTGGCCAACCCTTTTACCTGCTCCAACCACCCCCCTCCACACCTTTTCTTTTAGTCCTTTACCTCTCCCTCCAAACCTTGCCATTACCCCTGTTTCCCCACTGGTGTCCCCTCATCTTAGCAAACCCACTTTGAATCAATGAGCACATATTCTACAAAGTGAGGCTAGGTTCACACTTGAACTACACCCGGGGCACGCATCCCGGGATCGCGCGCTCCTGCACAATGCAGGCAGTAATTGCCGCGCGTCCCCATTGATTTCAATGGGGTGCCATCTGCGCAGAAATCGCAGAAAAAAGGTACATGTACCTTCTTTTTTTTTTTTCGATACGCGACATGCGGCTGTTTTCTTGTTCGGAAGCATGGGCAGGAAACTGCGCAATCCGCCCGGCACGACTGGGGTGCCATTAGAAAATAATGGCACTCACAGTGCAATCGGTTCACACCTCGGCGACTCCTGACCGCACGGAACCATGCACGATCGCCGCACGGCGAGGTGTCGTCTAGGTGTGAACAGAGCCTACAGAAGAGACAATGTCAGAAATGTTTACTTTTCTTTGTCAAACATTTGTACAACATATAAAACAATCAGGAACATGCACCAGCACCCAATCAGGTCTCATCTTTTAAAGCAGGAAGTCTGACTTCACAGGGAAATCAATTTCCAACTTTGTGGAAAACAATTTTCCTCCCGTATTAAAACTAAGTCTGACATGTATGTTTTCCTGTCTAGGAAGCGCTAATAGATAACAGAAATAAATAACAGATACACAACATCTGTTTCTCAGGTTTAAGCGGCAACTTTTAATTAAATCGCCTTTTGAGGTTTGTGACAACAGATGCCTTTGCTCCCTAATTAACATTGACAGACATATTTTCTAAACTTTACCTGTTTCTAAACCCCATTTAGAACCCATATGTTGTACAAGTAAGAGGTAAATATGCAAAATATCTGTGAAAAGTGGAACGTAAATAAACTGACATAAGAAGAAAAAAGTGTATACGAAGAGCTTGATATTTAACGATCCCCCACTCGGCCACGCTACACAGAGCCGCTGTCATCCAAAAACTGACAGGATGACAGCGGCTCAGAACAGAAGAAGCTCAGCCATCCTGAATTGCGGCCAGCAGCTTATAGCGGCCATCAGCTTATAGTAGAACTGTAAATGCCAGGTCCGTACGACGTACTGAGCTGGCCAGCTGGAAGCACTTTTGTAGCTCCGTACGGCGTACGTCCTTGGCAGCGAAAGGGTTAAAAGCTGTGATGCAAAGCAGCTATTCTGCAGCAAGCACAATGTGACGAGGTGTCAGATCCGCAAAACTCCCCTGTATGTGTATCTACAGATCTAAGTACATGATGGTGCCTGCTGGTCCATCTCTGAGCTGGGATGTATTGCAGTCACAGCCGAAGAGACCGAGATTAAAATCAGTCAAGAAAGACTTTAGGTATTTGAACCGATGACATATATCATTTGAGCTGAGTGCTCTTCAGTAGCAGCCGTCAGCGGCGCTGACAAGACGAGTTTCTCTAAAATGTCTGATGAGAATAAAAGGGGGAGAAAGGGGGCGCCGAACAATCTTACCTGCATGATTTAAAAGGGTCTCCAGCTCTTCTTTGGCCACAACCATTCTGAGCTTGTCACTGCTGTCAATGACAAAAATAATAGCCTGGCCTTCTCTGCGGAGAGGAAAGACAGGAAGAAGATTTATAGTTGGACACATTATTTACAGCTTACAACAAGAAGGTCTTACTTGTTTCAGTCTTATTAAACAATACAGCCCTAAAGAGTTACTTCTGGAGGATGGCTTCTAATTTAGAAGACTGCACATTACTTTCCAGTTAAAGGAGACCGATGGAGACAAATACCTAGGCCAGGGGTAGGCAACCTCGGCACTCCTGCTGTGATGTCATAGCTCGAGGAAGGGGATCCTGTGTGACCCCGAAACGGTCGGCGCAGTTTTGTGACATGTCGTTTTTCTTCAATAAATTAGACATTTTGCTTTACGCTTATACTGGAGTGCCGGTGTCTCCGCATTCTACTTTGAATTGACGGTTGCCATCCGTCGATCACCGCAGCACCCATTTTTCCTTTATTCATGGAGACAAGCGGTCGGGAGTGCGATGGGTTCATGTATCTAGTACATCTATACACAGGCGCATGGCTGTGCGCAACCTTGCTGGTGAAGAGCTGTAGATGCGCATGTGCAGCTGCTCGCACAGAACCTGTACTATGTGAACTAGCCAGACTTTCTGGACAGGCTGTCAGCCTCACAATGCCTCATAGTTCTTGTAGTTCGACAACAGCTGGAATGCTGATGATGCCTACCTCTGACCTAGGTTGTCTTTGCTATAATCCCATTCTGAAAATGTCATTGTCCTGACGGTTATGTTGACCCGGCCTTCAATATTTTCTAAGAAAATGACCTGGAAGGAGATGAGGAATCATACCTTCACTATACTCCCCTGGCCTAATCTTTGGTGGTCAGTAACTCAGGAAGTAATGACATCAGAGACACCCAGGCAACTTGCCTTTCTAGAAGGAAACCAGCAACGGTGACCACAAAAATATCTTTCTGCTGTAGCTTTCCTCAAACTTTCTACTTCACAGGAACCCTTAAAATATTTTACAGGTCTCTGTGTACACCTGCAAAATATAAATCATACCTACAGTACACTGCACATTAGTGTGATCACTAAATTGCAGAACATTTTAAATACTACTTTCCATTTCACTATATTGCACACCACACTTTTTTTTTTTCTTTTTTACTTCCACCGCTCCAAGCTTGCTCCTGTCAAAACAAACTAGTAGTCCATCACTGGAGCCATTTTTTTAAAATGTATTTGATTGTTTATCCGATTAACCGATTAATCGAACTTAATAATCGGCTAACTAATCGATTTTGAAAATAATCGTTAGCTGCAGCTCTAAATACAAGAATAAATAACAACGCATAACAATTCCTAGGTCATTTTGCACTATATGACATTTGAAGTAAAATTCTGGAAATTAAATTAATGACAGAAAAGCTCACTGCTAAAAGAACCCCTAGTAACCTAAGGAGAAATAGCAAACTAAACGAGTGTGATTTGTTCAACAATAAACAAATGAAGAGTTCCACAACAAGTGGCTGTGTTTGACCTGCTTTGACTGTAAATTAAATGCTGACACTGGACAATTCTTGCTAAATTGGGCAAAATTCAAGCTGTTGGGGCCCTGTTGGCACCCCCAGCTCAACAAAAGTCAATTTGTCTAACACAAGTCTAACAGTGAATGCAGCCAATCAGATGCAGAAAGCCAGATGTCTGAATACAATAGCTTGCAGGGGAGATTCCTCCATCCACTCTGTTAACATGAATGGGGGAATCGATTGATTTCTCAGCCTCTGGGGCTAAACAATTGAGATCTAAAGGTGCATTGCTAGATGAATGGTTGGAACATTTAATGTTATTCTAAAGCCAATTTCTTCCCATCATTTTGGATAGAGCAGGAAATGGTTAGAACCCCTGTCAGATTTCTTTTTCCCATCTGTGTCACACTGAATATTAACCCTCACTTCCTGTCATAAAGATACAATGGACTGTCAGAGAAAATCTGTCCAAAGTGAGGGAAATCTCTCTTAGACAGTTGTCACGGAGACAAGTGTCCATGTTGGAAGGTGACCCCTCTGTACCTTTTCTGGTGGCAATCGTTCTCCCTCATTTTCTGTCCCAATGATGGTGTCCCCAGGACAAATAAAGGAGAAGGCCCCATGCAATGGGGGTGATTGCTTAAGTCTTACAAAGTAATGGGGGTGATTGCTTAAGTCTTACGAATTCCTACATGAGACTCATGCAACCTTCTGCAGGCAGGAGGCACTCTATAATCAGATGACAGCTGCACCGCCTACAGTGGTTTACAAGTAATCGCACAGGCTGTGATTACCACCGGACACTCAAACCTGGACGCAAGCGGTCTGCATTCGGGTGCAGTCATCCGCAGGTAACTGCAAGCTATGTGAATAGCTGCATGTGGTGGCAGCTCTCATTGTATTATACAGCGCCACCTGCTGGAAGTAGATCGTATGAGTCCTTCAGAGAATTAATGAGATTCAATTGACCGGCCCCATTTGCAGGAGTGAATAGGGCCTAAGGCTGGGTTCACACCTAGGCGTATCGAATATGCGCGTTTCCGAGGGCTACTTGGCTGTATCCCAATGGAAACACGCGTGACAAAAACGCCTCAAAGAAGCTCCTGTACTTCTTTGGGCGTAGGACGTTTTGTAGCGCGTTCATACGGCCTGTAATACGCCCAGGTGTGAACCATACCATAGGAAATAATGGGATTTCGGTGTTTGAGCGTTTTGCAGAGCGTTCGAACACGCTACAAAACACCCAGGTGTGAACCGGGCCTAAGGGCTAGTTCACACAGCCCCAGTTCCGGCCTGTTTGGTGCCAGAACGCAGTGGATCGCATTCCGGGTGGCTCACTTTCCTTTGGGTGGGAGGGGGCGTGGCGGTGCATTGAAGTCAATGGCACCGCAGCCACGCCCTCCAGCCACAGTGCAATCGCCCGCACTGGAACGTGTGGTACATCAGTGCCTGTGTTCCAGTGCGGTGCACTCAGAAAAGATGCTGCATGCACTATTTTTTCTGACTGCACCGCATCGGAATGCAGGCAATGATGTGCCAGGCGTTCTGGTGCGGCCGATCGCACTGCAGCTGGAGGGTGTGGCTGTGCTGCCATTGACTTCAATGCACCGCCAAGCCCCCTCCCACCCCAAAACAAAGTGAGCTGGCCAGAATGCGATCCAGTGTGTTCTGGCACCAATCGGGCCGGAACGCACTGGGGCTGGTGTGAACTAGCCCTCAATCTCTCTAGCAGGGATACAAACAGCAATAAAGTCCTGACAGAGGATCTAACCCTCCCACACTGCAGCCAATTCTATTAAAAAAACATTTTATCTTGCCATATTAGGACGCCTGACATTCACGTTCTTGTTCCAGGCCACTTGTTATCCAGGCAGCGAAGGTAGAATTAAAATGACATACCTGCGAGACTGCACATTTAATTGCAAGTCAGCCATGACAGCTCCTCGATTTCTATCCTGGCAGGTTTATCTAAAGGAAACCTATTAATTTTCAATACAGATTTGCTTCCAGATATTCTTGTACAATTAACAAAGACCTTTATTTTACTCAACCTTAGAGCTCTGGTCACATAAAATCTCACAGATTTAAACGGAAATCTAATTGGCTGATACTGGTTAATGCACTTGGCACATGCCCACTGTTCTTTGCCATGCCTTATAGCAAAGACCTGTTCATGAACTTCACAGAGCAGTCATTCATGAGGACACGATCTGATCGCCCTCGGGGCACACAATCCCCAGAGCGATTTATTAACTTGTAAGCTAGCTCAGCCAAGCTTATGACTTATATGGAGGGGGCTGGAGTGGTTAACAGGAGCGAATGATGTCATATCATAGTGGGATTATTAGGAAATAACTGGTACCCCAGATAGTGGCTAGGTGGTATAGCTCGGAAGCCAGCCATAAAAATTAATCAGTAGCCAATGCAGCCATTTTTGAGCTGCCATAATCCGTCTATGGGTACCAGAAACAAGAGATTCTAGAGAGATAACCATAAGCCTGCAACCAAATTAGAGCAGGAAGGCAATATCACTAAACTGTGGGAGGCAGCCTGTATACATAATGAGCAGTGCTCCTGTATTACTGCAACCTGTAAAAAGGAGCAATTTTTCCGCCACACATTTTTAGAGATAATATGCACCTAAATAAAAAAGAGAGACACACAACTGATTCCCTTAAAATAGGGATGAAAATGTTATAAGATAAGTAATTAATATGCAATAGGACTATAAATGTGGCGCATTTGGTTGATACAAGCCTGAAAACCCCAGTGGAAGAAAATGGAGAGAACTGCTTCTCCCTGTCCTGAGTCTGAGCTCTGCTGTAAATGGACTACGAGAGGCTAATACCAATTCAAATTCAGATACTTACACTGCTTACATTTAAAAAAAAAAATGATAATTAAGATTTTTTAAATGAATAGAAAACTGTAGTAATATTTATGTTTAAATGCTAAATTCATCTTTTAGACTAGGTTTCATGTTACACCCATAATCACGGTGTAAAATGAAACAAGGTCACATCGGGACCTCTCTTTAATATCTGCATGTAATTCAGCTTTAACATACTTAAGCAGCCATTGTTATCAGTGATGAAGTAATAGTTTTGATTGGACGGTTAACATTTGTACAAAACATGTAAAATGTGAATAATTGCATCAATGTTATTTTAAAATCTTATTTCATTACATACCGTGTTTCCCCGAAAATAAGACACTGTCTTATATTTTTTGGGGCTAAAAAAAAACACACTAGGTCTTATTTTCAGGGTAGGTCTTTTTTTTAAATTTTTTTTTTATGTGCAACAATCCACACTTATTCATGTACAACAGTCTACATGTATTCATGTACAAAAATAGGGTGATCAGAGCAATCAGGGGTGCCGTACCTTTCCAAGAGCAATTTGGTAACCAATCGCTGGCCAGAATGAGCGAAGCGCGCTTTCACTATCGATTCCTCACAGGCGGAGTGCATTTGGTATCACTCCGCCTGTGACAGGACCTGGGACTATAGAGGAAGTATCGGCTTATGCGGCTTTGCTCCCCCCCCGGTGCCGCCTAGTTTCCTCTAGCGCTGGCTTCGTTGTCACCGCTGATTCTCTCCCGCCTCTCCCGCGGCTCTTCAAGTTCCTCCTTATGCCACCACCGGCCCTGGGAATGGTCACAACTAGGTCTTATTTTCAGGGTAGGACTTATATTTTAGCAATTCCCAAAAATAGTACTAGGTCTTATTATCGGGGTAGGTCTTATTTTTGGGGAAACAGGGTAGATATACAAGTACATGTTGGCAGCACTTGCTGGTTCCAAACACACACGCTGTATTTCAGTCTTCATGGCACAATACAAGGATTGTATTGTACTGAGGCTCTTATCTCAATATGGCTCCTAAAAGATGTAGACCCCCAATGACTGAAGACACTGTTTGCAAGCGATTGGTGCACTATTACATGTTCCCTCGGGCAAACTGTACAAAGAGTCAGATTATCTGTGTTAATGTGCCGAATGAAGTCTAACAGTAATAGTAATGAACTCACTCAATTAGGAAAAGACGACGAGCAGATTACAGAAACTTGTGACAACCAATCTGAATGATGCTTTCGATCATCAACAAATGCTTATAGTTGATAACTGACTCAGTGGTTGTAGGTCATTGGTCCCATAGCTGATTACATTTTTAAAGACAACCTCCAGCACCATTTTATAAGGAAATGTGGAAATAAGGAAAGTTATCACTTGTTTCCACTAATGAGGGGAAGGATTAGATGATACTTTTACGTTTAATAAATTGCATTTGCAAGAACAGATCAGCAACAAGCAGAGAAACAATAAAACTTGTCCGAGATAACTGCATTCATCACCCCCAAGAGACACAAAGATGGCAATCTATTACCTTGTGTAAGAAAAAACAAAATCAATAGGTCACTTACTTATAATAGTGCTCCCAGAGGTTCCTATACCTCCCCTGTCCAGACATGTCAAAAACTGTAAATGATAAGCTGAAAAAAGAAAAAAACAAAAACAGTTATTACAAAGTGAATCTGTCTGTTCAGAAACGTGTTTAAGCATTCCATTTTCCTTCATTTGCTTGCCACTCTCCCATGGAGCCCCCGGATCCTAGAGACTGCTATGGGTAGGCCTTGAATTCTGCTCAACTTGCAGGTAAATGTTGCCTCCTCAAACACATCGCCCCACCCACACTTAACAGTCCAATGCAAAAGTCTCTACTAGGCAGTGAGCTTCTTCAGTTGAAGGAACAGTGGAGTCAGGGAGCTTTTTATACTATGTACCCTAAACTGATCTCCTTTTCACTACAAATCACATTAATATGCAGCTCTGCATGCTGATATGAAATCATCTTGCATTCATTAGTTAAAAAAACATATTTTTATTTTACGTACAAACTACTGTTTTTCCACTCCCTGGTCCTCTTAGACATTAGTGATGTAATTGTGCCCAAGCGTTGCATCCTGGGAAGGTTACATCAGCAAAGCATTGCTGGGAAATCTCATGTGTAATCTCACGAGATCTCAGGGAAAGGCATTTTCCTCCCCTGAGATGATGTGCATGGTCCTAGTCACATGTGAAAGAGTTCCAGGAAGTAAAGTGAGATCTAGTAATCTGCCCTTAGTAAACATGGCCACTGCCAGAAGACTGGGGGAAGAAAAGAGAAATAAGAAATGCAAAGAATACAGAGCCGGCAATTATCTAGAAGTCTGTGTTTGTAGATTGTCATTACAAAACATTCCTATGAGGTGCCATTATTGTCGTTCTAAAGATACGGGTTAAGTTTAATATGTACCTTAATTTGAACCATTTTAAGGCCCCGTTCACACTGAGTGGTTTATTGCACGATTTCCGCCGCGAAATCGCGCATATTTACGCACGATATCGCTCTATGTAGCTTGTCCAATGCATTTCAATGGAGCTGTTCACATCTCACAGCTCAATGTCGCTAGTAGCTCGTCGCTCAAGCTTTTTGCTCGTACATGACCCTTTTTTCCGGCTTTAATAGACTCTATGGTGTCACGCAAAATCGCGCATTACCGGCGATATTGCACGACTTTGTCGTGCGATATCGCTCTACAGAAGGGCCACTTTTGCACTGCAAAATGGAAGGAAAGAATGATGTCCCATCAAGATTGCTGTTGATTGGTTACAGCCCAATGTAGCAGCTACGAAGTCCCGCCCTAAAAACACGCTATGTAGCGTGATAAAATGTACACTGTCGCTCAATATATCGCGCAATGTAGCTCAAAGCTGCTCAGCACGAAATCACGCGGAAAAACGCGCAATATCCATGTCGCTCAGTGTGAATGGGGTCTCAATGACACTGCATGCCTGGGACAATTTATTTACACACCCCTGATTATTCAGAAAATCATTGACATGCTTTTCACATTGCAGCCTCCTGGAAGAAGAAGAAGAAGCAGACTGAACACTACAAAGAGAATCTGCCCAGTCTGCCAGTGGGAAGATTAAATACAAAACTCCAGCCTTCCCTTCAGTCTTGTACAGTTGTGGAGGTTCCTCTAATGTACTGAAATTGCTTCCTCCGATTTCACTGCGCAATGTCAGCTTCTTACAATGTACATTAGAAGCGGCAGCAAGCCTTATAGAGCCCACCTCATTTCCTGACTGGAGGACATACAGCATCATTTAGTTCTTTCCTCCTCAGCCGGACTGTCCCTGGCTGTCCAGTTCTTTCAATCATGAAGGCTCAGCATCACATGTGGACTTTGCCTAGGACGGTCTACATGCCAAAACAGCTGCTGATAAGCCTGAAGTACTCCCATCACAACTCAATACAACTCAAGCTGCAGGGATTGTAGTCCACATACATGGTTTTTCTCATTAAGCCCTGAAGAAAGGAGTGCGATTTGGACCCCCATAATGCAAGTTCTACTTCACATGATAATCACTCGACCCTAACGGAATAAAGCTGCATCTGAACTATTTTAACTGGTGTGGCGTTTCAGTTCCAATACAGGGAAGACGAGAAGTAAAAATGAATTTCCATGGTTAGAGCCAACGTGTGACTCTGCAGCTGTCACATGTCGGCCCTATAGATCGAGAACTGAGTGATCACAAACCGCTGATTGCTCAGGTCACGATCTTCTCCCGGCAGAGAGCGGTGACCACCAGTCACTGCTCTACGCAGGGATTTTCCCCTTCTCTCTCTATTCCCCAAACGCTCATTGGAGGGACAAAACAGGGGAGGGGGTGGGCACAGCTGGCTTTGCCTCTAGAGAGGCAGAGGAAGCTGTCAATCAGTTGGTGGGGTGGATCCTGACAATATTATCAGGACCTATCCTGGCTGCACCGCGCCTCCTTATCGTCTTCTCTTGAATTGTATTGTGATTGTAATGTCTTCCCTATATTGTAATACACTGTGTAAACTGTTGGCGCTATATTAATCCTGAATAATAATAATAATGTCAGCATATAGCCAGCAATAGCCCACTATATGTTGAGTTTTGGATCATAGGAAGACATTAGTGAATGTCCAAAAGAAAACTAATGCCAAAAAAAGTTTTGACCAATGGCTATCTGCCAGCGCTGACTGGCGGAACGGACGGGGGAGGGGGCGGGTACAGCTTTCTCTGCCTCTAGATAGGCAGAGCCAGCTGTTACTCACGCAGCTGGGCGGATCCCGTCATCTACGTCGGGATCCGCTCCAGGTGCGGCGTCTCAGTATACCGCGAGCTGTAGCACACTGACCCCATAGTTCTCCTTTAACATTAGTGGACTTTCTGACTTTTGCATTGTGGCCCTCCACCCTGGATAACATTTCTCATGTTACCAGGATATGTTTTCAACTCATTTTTCATCCCTGTCCACTCCAACTAACTACAAGCAGCGATATTAGACTACAAAACAAGCCTGAGTTACATAATTATCACTTGTAGCTTGTCAGCAGCAGAGAACTGGAGTTTTCTTGCCATTAAGCACATTCCCCTTGGAGCTGATTATTTGATGCTATCAAACCTATCTAGTTATTTATATGCCAGAATAAATATTCCAGTGAAGAGGATTAATGCATTGCAGTGACAACGTTAAGGAGCATCACAGAGAGGCAATGAAGCCGCTTTAAACCTCTGATGGCTAAATTAGAACGAGAACTTTTCAAGGTATAGATGTCGGTGGGATTCATTATTTTTTATATCATAATCACTGGTTTCCACACCGTTTCCTGATACCCTGCCTTGAAGGAGCATTAGGCTTCATTAAGATGTAGCTTCTGGTATACAACGCCACGAAGACAAATGCAATTTCTGTATGTTGTTCTGCAGGAAATGATTTTTGACTTCAGATTTAAGTGCGTGTGTATATTAATACCTTGTTAAAACAGCTGTGCGCCCAGCTCTAGTTTATTGCTAAAATACTTAACAGGCTAACAAGAGATTTTACTGCTGGAGACAACCCACTGAGAGCTCGCAATCTTGTATAGATCTGGCTGTAAATTAATATTTAACAACACATGAAATATCAAATGTATCACCTGGGAGGCAATTCATTTTGTTGCATCATTTGAGCATATAGCTTGTTAATGGACGTCCTCTGCTGATACTAAAAAATCCCGCTGCAACTCAATGCCTCAAAGTGTGAGATCTGACAAGAATGATGAACTTTACCATGCTCACACACCCAACACACCAAACCTTCCATCATTTTCCAGCTGGGTTTCCAAAGAAATTAAAGTGACTGAAGACTTATTTTATCCTCTTTCCTGCTTTTTTTTTCCAGTCATGCTGGAAACCTTTCATTTATTTTTTAATTGGGTCTTAGAGTGTATGGGATAATCCTGCTGTGTCCTTCAATAAACAAAGGAGAATAAAAACAACCAAAACAAACAGTCTTTTGGAACATACAATAATAAAGGTGAAATGTATCAAACTGAATGTAATTCAGATTATAATTTGTAATTAACTGGGAAAAGCAAATAATAATAATAATAATAATAAAAAATCAAAATTGATCAGCACTGGGCCAGAAAAAACATCAGAGTGTTTCAGGCAAATCCATGAACAGTTTGTGCTGCCTCTAAGTTCCCGTTCACACCGCAGCATACCACAAACTTGCGTCAAACATGCACAAAAGTGCACGCTTCAAGGCGCATTCATGGAACGCACACCAAACGAGGAACTTGCTTGCAGTGCCATTACTAATTGATGGCACCCCAAATGCAGCTTTTCTCACCCTCGTGTTTACGGAGTGTGCCTGCGGGGCGCAATATCAGCCCCCTTTACATCCCTTCCTTTCAAGCAGACACAGTTAGATCCGCCCCTCAACGATCCAGCTTGATTGGTTGCCGCATCCCAATGACCAATAAAAGGTGCCCACACACCTTGCGATTATCGGACGATAATTGTATGCGATCGACTATTCGTCCAATAATCGCAAGGTGTGTGGGCAGTGTGCAACCGCAAATACTGTACAATCGTACGACTTAAAACTTTCAAGCATGTTCAAAAACTTTGGCCGGTCGTACAATTATTGCAAGGTTAGTAGCGTTTCCGTACGTCAAAAATCGTACGATCCACATTGCTCATGTGCAAACATAGTTACATAGTTAGTCAGGTTGAAAAAAGACACATGTCCATCGAGTTCAACCTATAGAGATATAGAGAAAGGAAAATACGTGCGGTTGATTACCGCAATTCGTCCAGGTGCTTTTCTTTAATTACAGCTAATTGAACCTTGCGATAAGCGGGGCATGATGGGGCCGCCATACGACAATCGGACAACGGTTCGATCATCGGACGAAAAGTGTCGTCTGATAATCGGAAGGTGTGTGGCCACCTTTACACTGTTCAGCCCGACTGTCTTCATCCTAGCATACAATGAAGCTGTGCATTCCAGTCACTTGCTTCCTAGTAGCCAATGACAGTGTTCGGCCCGGCCACCTGTGTCTTTTGCACAGGAACAGGTAGTGTATCAACCTGATCTTATCACTGCTTGAAAAGACAGAGGATGAAACAAGGGAAAAGAAACTCCCCCTCACCGCCCAGTGACAGCACTTGCCTCAGGCTATGTACACACCATGTCCAGAACTGATCTGGAGCAGATCTGCAAATGCTGTGCAGTGTATTTTTGCAGTGTTTTTTTCTTAAAATGGGCTTTCAGGTGCAGTCCAGTGCATTTGCATCTGTTTCTAATGCATTTCCATGCGTTCCAGTGCATTGTAGACCAGAGAAAATGAGACCAGCAGTTTTTGTGTACTGGAACAGACTGCGTTGGTTTGAACAGAGCCCAGAAATACCATAGGGATACTTTTTTGGTCCAGGAACAAACTGTTCTGGTCTGGGCATGAACCAGACATGGTGTGAACAAGCCATCAGGGAAGCACCTGATGCCTGAGTCAGGTGCTGTCAATCACAGCTAATTAAATATTCATCTCCTTGCTAGATGTGTGGTCAGACAGCAGTAGGGGAAGGGGGCATGCTTTCAACCACGTATCTCAGGAAGAGCACCTGGAAGACTGTTTTCTGGGGAATAGGAGCAAGAAATAAATGTTTTGTGAGACGTCTTCTATAAGTCCTGGTGAACACACAAAGCAAGGGGAAAACCTCCACAATAGGGACACTGGCAGCAATAAATCCTGACAATGGTGAAAAGTCACAGGTGGAAAACCTATTTGTGGATTATTATATAATAACTAGAGAAGACTGAAATAAAAATGAAGAATTTTTAGCAAGAAGAGAGAAGAGTCGAATCTATCAAAGATGAATACAAAAAGGCAAGAGCCGTAGGACATCACTGCTCAATCATCACATAGACCTGTTTATTCAGCAACTGTTATTAGCTGCACTTCTCAACCATTCCAATGGCCATTGTGTCTTGGCAACAGTACCTGGATGTCTTGAATTTCTCTATGCTGAACCCAATAGTTGGAACTATATCTTGTGTCTGGGCCTGGCAGATAAAAGAAAAGGAAAACCAGAGATCAGTGAGAGATTTCTACATTCGCTGTAAGAAAACATAGTATATAAAATACCTACACATACCGCGAGATGAGCAGAAGCACAGCTTAACAGACATGGAGTGACTGAGCCCATAATAGACCGACCCCTGTCACAGCAGCCTCCAAGCCCTGCCAACACTCAGGCGATTTTTGGTGGCGTTGTAGTTCACACCCTTTCCCCTCATTCCTATTGGCCAGTTAGGCAACCCATTATGACAGAGTTGCTTTAATGGATACCTGCATCCTTAACGCAATGTCACGGACAGGAGAGTTTCCAGCGGTGGCTGTGCGGTTCCCCATGGATCACACAACTAGAGAATCTGCCAGGATCCTGGGCAGGTGAATAGAAGATGCGGGGTAAGGGGGCTTAAGCATTTAGGAAGAGAATTACCATCAAGTTCATACAGTATCTGTGCAGGAGCAAGAACATTCATTCACTCAGTTTGCCTTAAAGAAGAACTCCAGGAAAAAAATTGGATGTATTAACCCTTGAAGTGGGGATAGCCCCACACTGCAAGAGTTAACTGCAGTGTGGGGTTTTTGACTAGGTAAAAAAAAAAAAGTCATACTCGCCCAATGCTCTGAGCCGGCTTCTTCTTAGGCCGATCCTTCCAGCCTTTCTCCCCCCCTTTTGCTGCAGCAGTCTAAGGTCCCATAAATCATCACTCCTATAGACTGTGTATAGACACGAGGATGCAGAGAAGACTCCAATGCTGCAGCGTAGGAGGAGACAGGCTGCAGGGAGCACTGTGGCAGCTGGCAAACTCGGAGATTTGGGTGAGTATAATATTTTTTAGCCCTGAGAGAGAAACAACCACTTTACCCTTGCAGTGTTGGGGCAGCCCTACTGCAAGGGTTAAGAAAAAGTTTTTTTCCAGAGTTCTTCTTTAATCTCAGTCCTTTGTATCCTTCTGCAGAATACATGTCCATGTTGGTGAGAAGAGAGCAGTGGGAATGTACTTAGTAAAGCCTGTGCTGTGAAACTTCCATTATCTGTTTCCTGCATCCGCAATCAAATCCAAGCCTCCAATGCAGTTCTGAGTCTAATTGGTGGCTGTATGTAGCTTCCAGTTTTACATCAGGCTGTCTCAGTGCGAGAGGCTGCAAGGGAAGTGCTCCAGCATCATCAGCAGATGTGTTCCAGGATCACAGACAAAAAAGGAATTGGGTGGACTGCAATATATCAGATGCCAAATAAATAAACAGAACTGTTCAGCAGGTAGGCCACATTCCCTGTAAGCAGTGTAAGGGTTTAGGTTTCTAATGTGACTGCAGTGTACCTTTAAAAACAAATAATTTTCACCTATTTAGGGGGATACGGATATCAGTCACACTTTGGGGTGACTCAATTAGGGTAACGTTAAACAAACATATAGCTGTGTACTATATACAATACACATACGTTTTGGGACCAACACCCGTTGTAGTTTACAAAGCAAAAAACGCTTAAAGTTTGCTTTTTCGTTGTTAAACTTAATTGTTGTTTCCCTTCACACCAATTAGATGTACTGCTGGGAAACGAGGACATTTAAACGTTGAAACAAGTATGTTTATGTCCCAGTTCTTGTCCCATGGGAGGACACGATCAAGCAATGTCTGTATCTCGTCACCGGCGGTGGGGAGAGGTTACTTGTGAGAAGCAGATAGGAAGCTGGAGGAGCATTTCTGTCATGTCACCTGTCCCAGGAGGATTCAGCATCCCTATCACACTGCCATGGCTGCAGCATAAACAAGGCATCCAGAAGCCAGGGATGACATTAACACAGCGCAATCCTCGACAACTTTTATGCACTGATAACTGCAAAGTGGATTTTATTACACTGAGCCCAGACAGCTCTACAGCTTCATGACTTTAATGTTTTAAGGAAAGTTTGCTCAACACTCTTCCTTAACCAGCAACAGGTTGGGTTTAATGGTCTCTTATAAAGTGTGCAGTCCATTACGGATTAAAGAGAACTAGTCATGGCTGAGCTCATCCAAGAATCAAAATAATCAGATATCAAATTAAACTCGAAGCATTTTGGTCACTTTTATTTTAAAGGAGAACTATTCTCCTTAGGGTAATGGGAGGACACAAGCTAGCGTCCTCCCGTCACCCTAGGCTCAGTATACCGCGAGCTGTAGCTAGCGGTATACTCAGACGCCGCAGTATACTGCGAGCTGCTGCTCGCGGTATACTGAGACGCCGCAGCTGATGCGGATCCCGACAGTTATGTCTGGATCCGCCCAGCTGCGTGACTGACAGCTAGAGGCAGAGCCAGCTGTACCCGCCCCTTCCCCGTCCGTTCCGCCAGTCAGCGCTGGCGGATTGGAGCGGGGGGGTGAAAACAATCCCCTCCCCTGTCACGCCAAAGAGCCGTGACAGGATCGAGAGGTGAACGAACGCCGGTATGTGTTCGCTCACTTCTCGATCTACTGAGCCGACCTGTGACAGTCTCATTGTCACAGGTCGGCTAGAACTATGAGGTGAGTGAAAAGCGCTCACCTCATAGTTCTCCTTTAAGATTATACATTTGTATATCCGTTTCTTTACATTTGCAATTTTGCATTTAGTTTGATTCAAGGGGCAAACCATATCTTGCTACGGAGGTCTAATTTGCATCCCACAACTGATTGCATTATGTCAGCTGCTTTGCGATCTAAAACCCCCATATGCTCTTAGTACAAGGTATTTATTTATGAATTTTAGAAACTGTCTTTGTTGCAATGGCTAATCCTCTGTGTGAAAACAACACTAAAGCTGGCCAAACACTTTACAAATCAACTGTACAATCTCCTGTAGGGCCCATTCATACCGGAGTGTTGCATTAACCTGTGTCATGAAATGTGTTAACATGCGGTGCATTAAGGCAGCCTATTTATTTGAATGGAAAGGCAATGCACAGAAAAACAGATCTGCAGCAGCACACAACACGTCATTGTGCTACTTTGCATTGCAATGCAGGTGCATTGGGGTCAGCGCACCTGTGTGAATGGGCCCTTATATTTACGTGCATTGTGTTAAGGCAGACCATTTTTTTTTTTTACTTGCCCTCCATTGCAAAGGAACTGACCACGAAACAAAGATGTAGCATTTGTTCGACACAACATGTGGTAGTGTATTACCGTGCATTGTGGTGTACTACAAAGCATGTGCGTCAGAGCTGTGTTGCCTTAGTGCATTGGGGTGCCATTAAAACTGACTGGCACAGGAACAAGCTATTGTGCAGCATGTATCTTAACGTGCAAGTAGTAACACGTGTTATTGCAATGCACCACAGCACAACATTGTGCTTCAGCGCTTCGATTGTAACGTACGTGATCCGCCTTAACAAAACCAACCTGCGCAATCAACATTCACATTATATGATTGACGTCTCTGTCACCCACAAGTAGGGTATAATCCTGTTCACATACAAAATAGACTATGTTATACGTGACATTTATCTATCCTTGTCACATTTTGATAAATTTGGAAGGACACGATCAGCTTTCTATTTTCACAAAGCAGCTTATATTAAGGCAATAAGGGATTGACCAGTTCAATCATTGCACACAGTGATGGAGCCTTTAAGAAATACAAATCCAATTACATTATCTTTTGAATATAAAATGGAGTGAGGTAGAATATGGATCTTGTGTAATTCCTTTGGATAAATTAAACTAAAAAAGCAAACTTGTTCCCCTTTGACCAAATTAAAAAACTGCACTTGCCATTCTTTACACTGAAGCAGAACAATACGCACCCTTCAGAACTGCCTCCCTATCTGTGTCTCAGGCCTCATTTTTTGCTGATGTACATGCTGCCATCTTGGGAATTAAATCACCAGCTAAATGAGTGTGTGGACTTCAATCAGTCACTGCATGCTGACGGCTCATGATAGCTTTAAGAAATTTGGTACTCAGTATTTGTAATAAACTGAACCTGTATGGCATGTGGCAACAAAAGATTCCTATAAAATCCCTGTAATTTGCTGCTATCCTTATCTTTCTTTATGGTGGTCTAGAGCAGCCTTTGCCTCGATGTGAAAGAGGGGGACTCTGAATAGAAGGAGGGCTGTGATGTGAAGGGGACTCTCATGTGAAGGGTCGAATCCCATTTTTTTTTTTGTCCGCTTTTGCTTGGAGGTCCCCCAACCATACCAGACTGGTATCTCCTATAAGGGTTTGGTATGGATTATGGAGGGACACTTCTATAGTGCCGCCTCCTGTCACAGGCGGAGTGATACCAAATGCACTCTGCCTGTCAGGAATCGATAGTAAAAGTGCGCTTCGCTCATTCTGGCCAACGATTGGTTAGCAAATTGCTCTCAGAAAGGTTGCCCTGATCACCATATTTTTGTACATGAATAAGTGGGGATTGTTGTACATGAAAAAAAAAGACCTACCCTGAAAATAAGACCTAGTGTGTTTTTTTGAGCCAAAAAAAATATAAGACAGTGTCTTATTTTCGGGGGAACACGGTAGGCCAAGCGATAGAAGTTATACAGTGCAGCAGCAAGTGAAAATCAGACAGTATAGGCCCGGTGAGAACCCTAACCAAAAACACGCATCTTATATTTTTCAGAGACTCTAGTGGCAAGATTTCCCCAATAAAACATGGGCGCCCATTCCTACCACAAGGCCATAAGAATGATGTCATCTTCTTGAAACATGAATTCCCAATGGTCTGAACAGTCTACACTGTGTAGAATCGATTAGGTGACCATTAAATCATGATTTGGCTTCATTAAGACTGCGGTATTTGGCTGGAACTACAAATACTCTATCTGGGTTTGATCCACATTAGAGTGCACATACACACAAGCACTGCAACCTTTATAGGTAAGGATGCTCAACGGACAACATGTGTAGTTAGTACAAATAAATGTGTCAGCTCTGTGAATATGACTGGAATGTGCTATACAGAGCTGGAAGAAAACTGCTAGAAACAGGGTGGAGTATAAATAAGAAAGTTGGGGGCACAAACACTATCGGGGTCCAGTTATAGGGCAATGGTATATCCTCATCACAGCCATACCACTGTGATTTTTTTTTTAAGCACATTGGCGTGCTTTGCAAATGAGCATCCCTCTCTACTGGCTCAGAACCCACCAGGTCTCTAAAGCAAGTGAAGCACCATTCAAATAAATGAAAAGCTGGAAGGAGGAGAGCCTAGCCACGTGACCTGTCAAAGTCATGTGACCAGAGTCTGCTCCTCCAGTCACAGATTCTCTCTGGTGCATTATGAAGAGTGAACTAAATGGCTAGTGGCCGATGAAGGTACAGCATGGAATAAACACTGATGACCAGCGAAGAATGGATGGTGACATCCACTGTCAACTATCATTAGGTCCAGGAAGCATGTGGACTCACCGCTACAACTAGAAAAGTATACCTTTTTGCATTCTTTTCCATGATAAGATGCAGCCAAGGTGTTACAATAAAGGTATTTTCATTTTACACTACAGGTTTGCTTTAGCTTGCTCAAAATTATACTACTGCAGACTCTTGTAAAATGATTCTCATGGTGCTATAATTGGATAATGTTAAAACAATGGGATGCACATTTCCAGCTGGCACGCAATTGTGCTTAACTGCCTGTGGACTGAACACATGCAGATGCAATGACTCGGGATCAGAGCTGTATAATCTGTAACTCTTTACTGCGTAGTATACTGAGAACATGGCAAGCTCCCTTGCACTATACACACTATAGGTTTTCCTAAATACACAAGCAGTTAATGGCATAACATACAAACAACACTGTGTACTTGTATTGATCCCACAGATTCATTTTACTTTCTGTGCTAGTATTAAAGGGTGAGTTCACATTTCTGAAAAGGGATTAGTACTGCTTTTTCATCATGTTCTCTGAATGCCAGTAAATTCTAGGCGGGTTGTTCCACTGAATCCCAGTTCTTAGGCTGGGTTCACACCTGGTCGTTTTTCAGCGCTGATCAAAGCGCTGAAAAACGCTCAAGAAGTGAAATCCTACGAATCCCTATGGGCATGCTTCCCACCTGTGCGTATTTCAGCGCGATTTGTCGCGCTGAAAAAACGGCCTACGCCCTAAATAGTACAGGAGCTTCTTTGGGGCGGATTGCAGCGCGTATCCATTGGTATTCCCGAGTGTGGCTCGGAGTTAACAAAGCGGTAACCCCAAGCCACACTCGGGAATACAGCGTAGGTCTTACCTTGTCTGCGATCCCCGCTGTGTCCTCTGGCCGCTGCTGTCTTCCAGGTTTCGTCCCTTGCGAGCGTCCGCGTCGCAGGGTGGCGGAACCGGACGGAAGTTTTAAAGTTTAAAAAAAAAAAGGAGAGAAAAAAAAGCAAAAAAAAAAACCAAAAAATCATAATGCTAGGGAGGTTAAAAAAACGAACATTTCATTGGACTAAAAAATGTGCTAAAAACGCGCCTATTAGGAGCGCCCAAGTGTGAACCCAGCCTTAAAGAAGAGCTCCAGGCAGAAATATTTGTAAACCTTGCAGTAGGGCTACCCCCACCATCCCCCCAAATTCAAGGGTTAAGTGCTTGTTTTCATCTAGGGACGAAAAACAAACATTATCCTCAACAGAACCTTATAGCTGGCTGTCTGTTAGAATGGTCCCTTCAGCCTGTCTTCTCCTTCGCTCCAGCGTTGCAACACATACACAAATACAGTGTATTGGATGTGAAGACTCAATGGACCTTAGACGACCGAAGTAAAGGGGAAGAGAGGCTACAGTGACTGGTCTAGCAGCCAGCAGGCTGTGAGGTTCAGGTGAGAATATCTTTATTTATTATTGGCTAAAATAAAGAAAATGTACTCACCTGATCCTGGATCCGGCCTGGTTGCTAGACCGGTCCCCGGCGGAGCGGAGGGAGAGAGAGATAGGCGGTCACTGCTTAGGACTGAGGATCAGGTGAGTGTATCTTCTTTATTTTCATCTCTGGACAAAAATGAGCACTTAACCCATGTGGGGGGTAACCACCATGCAATGGATCAGAATGTTTCTGCCTGTAGTTCTTCTTTCAGGTGTCAGTCCACCCAAACAAAAACATATTCTAATTATTGGTGGGGCCTGTTGGAGCTCCTGGCTTCATTTACTCTATGTCTAGGATACCGGAAGGGAGACTTCTCTGTTGTAAATCTAATACTGTTCCTGTCTACCTTGAAAATATGGGTGTCCCCCCTGTTGTATTCTCCATAATGGAGAACAAAATCCATTGGGGAGTGGAAACCCCCAGGGTTGCTGCACATATAAAATCGATAAAGTGTCCCCAAGAGAAAGTGCCAATTGCTTTAAGTGACACTAAACTCAGGAGTTAAATCTTAAAAATGAATTCAAGTACCTTAACTATTAACAATACTGGACCGTATTTGTGTATCACTCGGCTGTAGATCCTCAAATTATCTCTGAATTGGTGCTGACACTGTCCTTCCTTCTGGAGGGTGGCTACTTTTGTTCCCCATGGTCCCTGTGTGTGTTGTAAAGTAGTCACCGCTCCAAGCTTGCTCCTGTGATGGACTACAATCTCATGTTTAGTTTACTAGTTTGTATTGACATTGTAGTCCATCACAGGAGCGAGCTTGGAGCGGTGGCTACCTTACAACACACACATGGACCATGGAGAACAAAATTAGTCACCCTCCAGAAGGAAGGACAGTGTCAGCACCAATTCAGAGATGATTTGAGCATCTACAGCCGAGTGATACAGAAATAAGATACATTTGTGTTAATAGTTCAGGTAGTTGAATGTATTTTTAAATTTAGTGTCACTCTAACTCTTGGGTGGATTGAACCCTTTTTAAAGTACAATTACAGTTAGATTATATTGTCACTAGTTAAAATAACCCCATCACCTACCACAGAAGAAGCAAATAAAACAAATTTAAAATAATGACATTTCGGACAGCCTTCTCCTTGTGACTTTATTTTAAACTTTAGAAAGATTAGAACAGCTTTCCGCTGCATAACAGAAAATTAATTCCTTGAATCTTTTTCCTCTTACAATGATAACAAGAGACACTAAAGCTGTACTTACATTTGCAGGTTTTAGTCTGTTGATAATGGTGGTCTTCCCGCTGTTGTCTAAACCCAGGCATAAGACGTGGACTTCTTTCTTCTTCAGTCCCAGCCAACTTGCTAGGCGGTCAAACAAACCCATGATCTTCGGTCTGCTCCTGGCATCAAGAATTTACATAAGAACCATCATCATTACAAGACGGTGTACAACATCATGATAGGCCTAGTATCATTAGGTAAGGAAAAGGTAAGCAGCCATGTCCCAGCAGATGCAGCCTGCATAAGAGTCTAAGCTGCTTATAATAAAAGCCTGTGGCTTCTAATCGGGATTGACAAGCTGCTGAGAGCAGACTACTCGGTAGGTGGTCTTCACGTTGTTAGATTGTCCCTGTCCCTATCCAGTTATAAAGTCCTTGTACAACTGCAGCAACATACATCATAAGATTAAAAAACACACGCATACTAATCTATGATATGCACTCATGCCACAAAAGGTGTAGAGTATACTGACCTGACAAGGAACTGCAAAAGGTTCCTGGTGCACAATAGAAAGGCTTTCTTTTTAAAGATTAACTCTGTAAACCTGCTAACAGTGAACTGTGAATGCTTTCCAGGCAACACTCCACTATGCTCATGTCACCAAATGGACCAGGACAGACGGTGGTTGCAGAACTAGGATTACACTGGCTGATTTTTGCAAGTTTAGATTTAAAAGATTCTGTCACTTAAGTAGCGGATTCTCTTACTATCCCACCCTCCAAAGCACTTAATACTCACCTTTCCTGTCCTCACCTGCCACCCCATAGCTCCGTATGTCAACACCTGGGTAAGTCCCGCGTTGGGTGGTGTGCTGAAGCCTACTCAGGGTTTGATGACTTTGAGGGTTATTCACATATGAGCCAAAGGATCCAGCAGTAGCTTCGGCTGAACCTTCGGCTCTCTTTGGCCACCTCTGCCCTTCGGTTCAGTCGAACCGAAGGGCTGCTGTACGGGCAATTCACTATTGAGGAGATGAAACAACTGGCGGGCAAGGTCAGCGCTCTAAAGCTGTCTTTCTTTTTACACTTAAAGCGGGTAATCTGAAAAGCCTTTTTTTTTAAAGGGGGGGAGGGGGAGTTGTTTACATTTTAAGAAATATTTATATTTTGGCCACACCTCCCACCGCAATGATACATCCCTGTGCACGCAGCCCCTGGGGTATCTATATCACGTATCCCAAAAGGCTGCAGGAGCGCAGAAACAAATCTGGTCCAGAAGGCAAATCAAAAAGGCAAGTCATTGGTGGCTGCCTGAATCTGGAAGAGACAGCCATCTCCCATTGACTGAGTGGAGGAAGTTGACGGAGCAGGACCAACCTGCAGTTCTCATCAAGACAACTCTCCATTGGCTGGGCCGGTGAGTATGTTTTTTCAAGAGAACCCTACATCATAGGTAAGAAGGGATAAAAAAGAAAGAATGGGGGAGGAAGTTCCCTCCATCCTTGAAAAGGGACATTATTATGAGGAAAGTAAACCTAAACAGTGTGTGGGGGCCTTCAACACCATCTATCACCAACATTTAAAGTGACACCAAACTCAAGTGTTCAACCTTAAAAATACATTCAAGTACTTTGCTGAAGGTTTGATTTGTTCTCAAACAGCATTAAAGTGACACCAAACTCAGGAGTTCAATCTTAAAAAATACATTCCTCAATGCAGATCCTCAAATCATCTCTGAATTGGTGCTGACACTGTCCTCCCTTATGGAGGGTGGCTACTTTTGTTCCCCATGGTGCCTGTGTGTGTTATAAAGTAGCCACCACTCCAAGCTCCCTCCTGTGATGGACTACAATCTCACTACAAATTAGTAGACTAAAAATTAGACTGTAATCCATCACGGGAGTGAACTTGGAGTGGTGGCTACTTGACAACACACACAGGGACCATGGGGAACAAAAGTAGCCCCCCTCCAGAAGGAAGGACAGTGTCAGCATCAATTCAGAGATGATTTGAGGATCTACAGCCGAGTAACGTACAGATACATTTTTGTTGGGGATTTGATTGCATGTTCAAGATTGAACTCCTGAGTTTGGTGTCACTTCAATGCTGTTTGACAACAAATCAAACCTTCAGCTATGTAACTCGAAACTGAACACCTGTCCCAGACTTCATAGAACAAGGTGGTTTCACAAACTTTCACATGTCCCATCATGCTCTTGGACAAATAAACTCTGCCGTGACACTCTCCAGGGTGCTTAAGGTGACTTTTGGGTAAGCGTACGATGGGGTATGTTTCTGGCCCTCACTAGAACTGAAGAAGGTTCTTGGATCAGTAACATTACAGAACACGTCCAGCTGAATGTGAATAACTACACTGCAGGTATCTGGATGTCTTTCAAAGGACTATTATAGCTGCTCCCTGGGTTCAATGGCGGCCATGTTTTCGGCCAAGTCTCCGTGAGGTCCGCTGTTGAGAGAAATAATTTTTTGCACAAATATATATTCAAGCTTATTAGAAAAAAAAGCAAGCAGCAGAGTGCAGGCCAGCAAATACGTGGGCTGCCATTTCTGATCTCCTTCAGAAAATAATAGTTCCCTAGTTGGAATGAAGGAACAAAGGTGAGCACAAAACAGAAGGATGAAGGAACGCAGGGGAGCACAGTACATAGAGATAAAGGAACGCAGGTTAGTACAGCACAGAGGGATGAAAGAACGCAGGGGAGCACAGTACAGAGGGATGAAGGAACAAAGGTGAGCACAGTACAGAGGGATGAAAGAACGCAGGGGAGCACAGTACAGAGGGATGAAGGAACAAAGGTGAGCACAGTACAGAGGGATGAAAGAACGCAGGGGAGCACAGTACAGAGGGATGAAGGAACAAAGGTGAGCACAGTACAGAGGGATGAAAGAACGCAGGGGAGCACAGTACAGAGAGATAAAGGAACGCAGATTAGTACAGCACAGAAGGATGAAAGAACGCAGGTGAGCACAGTACAGAGGGATGAAGGAACAAAGGTGAGCACAGCACAGAGGGATGAAGGAACGCAGGTGAGCACCGCACAGAGGGATGAAGGAACGCAGGTGAGCAACGCACAGAGGTAAGAAGGAACGCAGGTGAGCACAGTACAGAGGGATGAAGGAACGCAGGTGAGTACAGTATAGAGGGATGAAGGAACGCAGGTGAGTACAGTATAGAGGGATGAAGGAACACAGGTGAGTACAGTATAGAGGGATGAAGGAACACAGGTGAGTACAGTATAGAGGGATGAAGGAACACAGGTGAGCACAGTACAGAGGACTGATGGAACGCAGGTGAGCACAGTACAGAGGGATGATGGAACACAAGTGAGCACAGTACAGAGGGAAGATGGAACACAGGCGAGTACAGTATAGAGGGATGAAGGAACAGAGGTGAGTACAGTACAGAGGGATGAAGGAACACAGGCGAGTACAGTACAGAGGGATGAAGGAACAGAGGTGAGTACAGTACAGAGGGATGATGGGAGGCAGATGAGCACAGTACAGAGGGATGATGGAACACAGGCGAGTACAGTACAGAGGGATGAAGGAACAGAGGTGAGTACAGTACAGAGGGATGAAGGAACACAGGCGAGTACAGTACAGAGGGATGAAGGAACACAGGTGAGTACAGTACAGAGGGATGAAGGAACACAGGTGAGTACAGTATAGAGGGATGAAGGAACACAGGTGAGTACAGTATAGAGGGATGAAGGAACACAGGTGAGCACAGTACAGAGGGATGATGGAACGCAGGTGAGTACAGTATAGAGGGATGTTGGAACACAGGTCAGTACAGTATAGAGGGATGAAGGAACACAGGTGAGCACAGTACAGAGGGATGATGGAACACAGATGAGTACAGTATAGAGGGATTTTGGAACACAGGTGAGTACAGGGGGATGAAGGAACACAGGTGAGTACAGAGGGATTTTTGAACACCGGTTGATTACAGGGGGATGAAGGAACACAGGTGAGTACAGGGGGATGAAGGAACACAGGTGAGTACAGGGGGGTGAAGGAACACAGATATGCCACTGATTACATAATGCAGGGAAAATACGGTGGCAGTATATAACTAGTACACGTCACATGACAGTCTAGCTGCTCACCATCACTTGCCTCACCTGAACGCTGTGATTGCAGTGATACCCTCACACACAAGCGGATGGACACAGCAGTGAGTACCGGAAGCGGCGGGTTCTATGGCAACACTGCAAACACTTTCCTCCTCGCTGCTGTTCCGCCCACTTCTTCTCCAGGCCAATCCCTGCTCCGGTTACATGGGCACATAAACGAGCGACTGTAGCAGCGTAGAGCTGTGATTGTGAGAGCTGTTGTGGCTGTGTGACGTCTACGCGGCGTGTCCACTCCTCCGCTGTACTTGTACTGTGCAGTGTTGGATAGGTGAGGACTTTATTGCTGTCCAGTTGTCTTTCTCTGTCAGGTGACGTGTATACGCACACTGGCCCGTTCGGCAGTTGTGGAACAAGAACGCCACTAAAGGTGCCCATACACTTTACAACCCTCGCAAGACTTTTGTCTTGCGAAGGTTGTAAAGTACTTGAAAAAACGTACGATCTGCCCATCTTGGACATGCAGATCGTACTTGTGATGACTGCAATGAGGGGCGGGCTTGCGATGACTGCAAACGGGCAGTGTGCGCATGCACACACCGGCCCGTTCGGCAGTTGTCGAACAAGCAGGCCACCAACTCGCCGAGAATTGTACGATTCCCGGCGGGTTTTCCAGCCTGCTTGTTCGATGGAAGACGTGCGACCGTACAGTAGAAACGGTCGCACGCCTTCCATACACTGCACGATTCTCGTACGATCGCGGGATTTCCCACGATTCTCGTACGAGAATCGTGCAGTGTATGGGCACCTTTATCCGCCGAGAATCATACGACTCTTGGCGGGTTTTCCAGCTTGCTTGTTCGACAGAAGACGCCTTCCATACACTTTGCGATTATCGTACGATCGCGGGATTTCCCGCGATTATCGTACGATAATCATACAGTGTATGGGCACCTTATGTGCTAACGACTGTAATGTGTATTTCCACAGTGGGAGGGTGTGAACCTGACATTACAGAAGAATTTTAGGGAGAGTGAAATACACTTATCCTCATAGTTAGAGGCAAAATGTGACACTGAAGCTGTCACACGTCAGCTCTATAGATTGAGAACTGAGCGATCACATACTGCCAATCGCTCAGTTCACAATCTTCATGCAGAGAGCGGTGACTGTCAGTCATCACTCCCCGCAGACATTCTCCCTCCCCTCTCCTTTCCCACAGCGCTTATTGTAGGGACAGACAGGGGAGGGGGAGGGGGCGGGCACAGCTGGCGCTGGCTCTAGAAAGGTAGAGCCAGCTGTCAATCAGTCAGGGGGATGGCTCCTGACAATATTGTCGGGATCTTTCCTGTCTGCAGTGTGGCTCTGCGCTGTCAGCATATAGCAGGCAATAGCCCGCCATATGCTGAGTTTTGGCCATAGTTCTCTTATAAAGAAGAACTCCAGAAAATGTAAAAATGAACCCTTCCAGTGGGGCTACTCCCCGGCAATGCAAGGGTCACCTGCTCATTTTTCTCTAATGGCTAAAATAAAGAAAATATACTCACCTGATCCTGGGTCCCGCCTGGCTGCTAGACCGGTCCTCGGTGGAGCGGAGAGAGATAAGCGGTCACTGCTTAGGACCGAGAATCAGGTGAGTGTATCTTCTTTTTTTAGACCCAAAACCAAAGCGAGCAGTTAACTCTTACAGTGCCGTGGTAGCCCCACTGCAAGGGTTAACTTTCACATTTCCTGGAGTTCTTCTTATGGCACTGTGACACGTTAGGACTAAGGGCCAGTTCACACCATCTCCAGTGTGTTCCGGGCCGGTTAGTGCAGAATGCACTAGATCACATAGTGGAAGACTCCCTGCATTCTGGGGCCAGGAGGGGGAATGGCGGTGCCATTCAAACACATCCCCTCACAGAAAATACTGCATGCACTGGAGATGGTGTGAACCAGCCCTAAGGCAATACAGGTCCAATGCACATGCTTTACAGTGCACCACAGCACCCAGTAGTGCAGCACCATGCTATATATTGCAGGAAAGCGCAGAAATCTAGCTGTCCAACTCAGGGGCGTCCCGAGACCGTGTGACACCCCGCCGTGTCGTCACTGTGCGTGCATGTGACGTGTCATCATGGGGGACGTTCACCCGGCTGGATGAGGTATGCCGCCGGGACCCCTCCTCTCTCCTGACACTGTCAAGCTCTCGGTCCATGATTTTTTTTAGAGGGGGTGACACCAAAATGACTGTCCTGCAGTGGTGTCACCCGGGTGCGGGCCGCACCCCCCCTTGTGACGCCACTGGTCCAACTGGCCCTCTTTTGGAACCAAATCATCCTGTCCCTGTTTCCTCCTCAGTTGTCCTTTTTGTACAGATATCTATAACAATGTATTATTCGACTACCAAAAGAGCTATTCTGCACCGAGGCCCCATTTTGTAGCTCGAATACCTAAGCACTACAACACTCTACAGGTGGAATCCTATTGTTTTCAATGGCCCCTGTTCACATCTGAGCATTATGTCACTTGTAGAAAAACGCCTGTAGCTCAAAAAGCTACATGAGCTTTCTTTGGGGCAGAATCAAGTGTTTTGCAACCAACAGAATGCAATGGAAGCACCTGAAAAATGCTCGAGACACACAAAGAACATGTGTAACACTTGATTATCCTGCTTATTTCCCTTATACGATACCATAGGCCTTCGATTGTGGGATGGGCTACTAGTTTAATGTGCCATGGCAAACTATGGTAATAATGGTGGAGTGCTGCAGTAAATTATTATTATTATACAGCATTTATATTGCGTTTTGTTATAAGAATTGGGGTGGACACTGTAATATTGCAGTTTTTAAAGGGGCAGCTTGATAGTAACAGGCCTGCAGAGGATTAAATCATAGTAATATGGTTCTCTAAACACACAGCACTGATATGGTGGGCATGGTTTATTGTGACACACCTTGTTACATCTTCCAGCATCATCTTCCCGGCAGCTTTCAGCATTCAGATACAAGTCGTCTCATAGCCCTAAAGCAAGACGGTGCAAGAAGACTTTCCACTGACAAATGCTGTGATCACAGGTCTTAACGGGGTAAGTACGGTAGTTGTATTACACCCACCATGTGAGGCCCCACTCTGACTGAGGGCTGAATGACAAAGTATCTCCATTCAGAGGCACCAGCCCAAAATATCTTATTAGTATTGGCCCAGAGAGCAAATCACCTATTTGCCTCCCCTGGTTACAATTCATGTGCTATGAATAGCAATCATTACAATGCACAGCCAACAAATGGACAATTGTTACAATGCATGGCCAACAAATGGATAATCTTTACAATGCACTGGCAACAAATGGATAATCTTTACAATGCATGGGCAACAAATGGACAATCATTACAATGCATGGGCAACAAATAGATAATCTTTACAATGCATGGGCAACAAACAGACAATCTTTACAATGCATGGGCAACAAATAGATAATCTTTACAATGCAGGGGCAACAGATAGGCAATCTTTACAATGCATGGGCAACACATGGACAATCATTACAATGCACGGGAAACAAATAGACAATCTTTATAATGCACGGGCAACACATGGGCAATTATTACAATGCACGGGAAACAAATAGACAATCTTTTTCTTTTAGAAAATACTATTTTAACGTTTTTTTTCATCACTACCTGTCCCCTTCAGCCACGTCCTATTTACATGCACTTGTCCCGGTGGCAGCTGCATGTAACTGCTCAGGATGGACTTTCTGGTGATGACAACAGTGGCCGTGTGTCAGTGTGGCCACTTGTATTCTCCATCAGGGGCATATGTGACAGGATAGAAACACAGGAGCACAGAGTCCTGGAGGACCTCTACGCTTTCCCTTCTCTGACAACATGTCCCCCACCTTGTCTTTTGACAAACTTACAGATTGTCAGGAAGATACCATTCACAGGTTTGAGGCTATATGGACTCCCTGGATAGATTGCTTCCTTTCCTCTGAATTTCAGCAGGCCTCTCTCTCTGTGTGACTGTACCCACACGGGATCTTATTTGGGCACCGAAGGGCTGGGCTCCTGTGGTTCCCTTTGTCTATCCCTTCCCCCCACCCCATCATTTTTTTTTGCTGACATATTTTCAGATTTTGGATACTTTTTTATGCTTATGTTCTAGATGTGGTTCTTACATGGTCCTTGATGTTTGCACACTATCTTTTTCCTGCTATGTACATACACTATTTCATTGCTGTTCAGTCAAGTTTTGTATTCACATTTACTTAGTTAAAACTTAATTTAATAAAAATGTATTGAACAAAAAAAATGCAGGAGCACAACTGGGAGACAGGGACAGAGCATTGTCACCCTATAACAGAAAGTGCCTGAACAAGGATCTTCATGGCGGGATCACCACATATTATTACCTTAAGGAAAACTGCAGATTCCATAATATTGAAAACAACCTTTGAAGTTAAATTAACATGTTTTTGCTAATATATCAGAGTAAAAAAAAACCCATAACAGACAGCAGGGAAAGGTTTACTCTGCCAGATCGAGCAGAGTAAACCTTTCCGGGAGAAAATGTTTCTCTCCCGGGCGGCTGGGAGCCGCTATCTAATAGCTGGAGACTCCCGGAATGTCCAGGAGAGTTGGGATGTAGAGCTGCAGCTAACGATTATTTTCAAAATCGATTAGTTAGCCGATTATTACATTCGATTAATCTAATAAAAAAAATAAAATACATCTTTAAAAATGGCTCCCGTGTTGGGCCTACTAGTTTGTATTGAGATTGTAGTCCATCACAGGAGCAAGCTTGGAGTGGTGGAAGTAAAAAAGAAAAAAAAAAGTGTGGTGTGCAATATAGTGAAATGGAAAGTAAAATGATACAGCAATGAATGCAGAATGGCACCGGCTATAGAGGACTACAAAACCCAGCATAGTACATTATACAGCTCAATGCAGAATACCACCATCTATAGAGGAATACAACAAATCCCAGCAATAGTACATTATAGCTGGCGGTATTCCGCATTGCACCGCTGTATAATGTATTATTGCTGGGATTTGTAGTCCTCCTATACAGAGCAATGCAGAATACCATCAGCTATAGAATTGATCCCCGAAACCTCCCTAACCACCCATTCCAAAAACGAACTGAAAGCTTCAAATAAAGCACAGGAGATTGATCAGCCCATAGGCAAACACTTGTCCACAAA